ACAGAGGTCTGTGTGTGTACACATGTGTGTATATGTAGAAGCTACATGTAAGTTGTACTTACAGGCACTTGTGCTGGTGTATTGGGACTGTTGTTCAGAGGTCCGTTCTCCGGCTGTGGAGAGTGGTTGTCTGTCAGTAACTGTCTCCTGCCGTTCTTTTCAGACTTCTTATTCTTCTGAGCTGGAGAGTTGCTTGGTGTTTTCCTCTGTTGGAACTGTTTCAGCTGCAAGAAGTTAACAAAATTAAAATTTGGTATTGTTAACAAAAATTTTCGCATCAATAATTTCACCTGAATCCAGTATTCAAATTTTCGTAACTGGTACAACTTACATGCAAAACACATGACAATCATTCAAATGATTCTGTAGAACTTTTGAAAGTCCATGTGATAAACATTAGAAGCCTGTGTGATACTAGTAACTCAAGTTATCCTCCCTGTCTGTAAGTTACTATTAGAAGCCTGTAACAAAACTCCAGTTATCACATTGGTTTGTAACTGTTAGAACTATAGAAGCCTGTACAAAAACTCCAGTTATCACATGGTTTGTAACTGTTAGAAGCCTGTGCAATGACTCCAGTTATCACATGGTTTGTAACTGTTAGAAGCCTGTGCAATAACTTAAGTTATCACACTGTCTGTAACCATTAGAAGCCTGTGCAATAACTCAGGTTATCACGTGGCTCATAACACCCGCATCAAGGATTATCATGGCCTACGTATGAATTTTGGATATAACGACAGCTCAGAACCTGTATACCAGTAGAACTAGTGAGGTATACACAGATTTTGTGGCAAAATGGATTTTTTTCTTTTTAGAATGTTTGTGCAGCTGGAAAAGAGCAAAGTAGTAAGAGCAAAGCTAGTTTAAGTCCCATGTTTCTGGACACAAGTATGCCTGTGTCCTCTTGGTGAATTTGGTTCGCCTTTTAGAGGCTTCATCTCTTCAAATTTGTATTCTTAAGATGTTGCAATGGCTGTGACCTACAGTATCACCTAGGTAATTACTAATTAGTTAGACCATTATATACATGGGAGGGGCTTGCATATTTCAATTTATGAACTAATTATACTATGGTCAGGTATATGGGTAGATATCAGAAATACCTGCACAGCTCCAATTTTACCTGCACTAACCTGCATATACCCAGTACATGGACCAGTGCAGGTTAGGTGCAGGTAGATATCAGAAATACCTGCACAGCTCCAATTTTACCTGCACTAACCTGCATATACCCAGTACATGGACCAGTGCAGGTTAGGTGCAGGTAGACATCAGAAATACCTGCACAGCTCCAATTTTACTTGCTCTAACCTGCATATACCCAGTACATGGACCAGTCACAGTCACATAGCTTGTTTTGTGGCTACGGGACTACATTTGTACTAGTATTTCAGACACTTCAAGGTATGAAATGGTGAAAATGAAAATGTCCTAAGAAATGGCAGTATTAAAATGTCAATATCAGACAGACTTCCTCACCCAGAATATTTCTTTTGAGCATTGGGAGCAGAAGGTGTACAAGGAGTGAGGAGGGTGACAAACAGGCAGTGCCTTTGGTCACCTAGAATTCTTCAAGGTCTTTATTTAATAGTTTAAAGGTTTTCTATAAAAATATTCGATTTTGCATCGACTTGGCAGCTGCATAGCACTAACGATTGCCACGTGCAGGGCTCAGCAGGCTGCACTAAAAATGTGCGATAAAATATATGTTTCGTGCACGTACTGGGTAACGGCAAACTGTCATATAAGTTTTGTTATTGTTTTCACGTAATATGATTCCAACAGGTGTATGTAAATGTCTATCTTTCACACTTTTCCAGACATGTTTGCATCATAATTAACACGAGATACATTCAAAACTATGACCTACCAGATCACCTTGTTACTTAAACCATCGCACACATGAATGAGAAGTGGTGAGCAAAATCATTACTAGAATCTCCGTTGAGGTTGAAAAAAAATAATTAAATTTTCTCACGGGTCTTCCAAAAAAAAATTCTCGACTCCGAGGCACGCATATGAGTTACCGGTCCCTTAAACGGCGACAAAGACGCGCTAAATACAAATTATGAGAAAAAATTCAATTCATAACATTGTTATGCACATGCCGTTGCATTAAATGAAGCTGAGAAGAGAAATATTTCTGTATAATACCTTTTTTCTGGCTGAGGCCAATTTTTCCTGTCGACTGACGTCGGCCATTTTGGTTCCAACACGACAGCTTTCCCAGCATCCTCTGCGGGAAGTACATCACGTGACGTTTTCGGACTAGTCCATTCATATAATAGAGGGGGTGATAAATTTGTACATAATGAAATGAAATGTTATCTTTTATAAAACGTCAAACGTTCATAAGTTATATATAATCAATCAATAAAAGTTGATTAATGCGTATCTCTTCTAAGAGGATCACTATAAAATCAAGACATCTGAAAGGACAATTCAATAACTAAAAGCTCCTTGCTAAAATCTTTGCAAAAAACGAAGAATTTGTTTTCAAGAGTAATTTTTTGAAATGCAATCTTTATTCAATAAACAAAACTGCGAAACAATATCGAAGTATCGTTCTTCATCGACAATTATCAGCAATACCAGATATTGGATGAAATATTATCATACCAATTTTGTTCCCTAAAATTGAATGGGATATTCCACACTCGTGCTACGGTATGACTTCCGGGTTTCGTCAGCTGTTTACAGTTTACAGGTCAAGAGGATAGAGCTGACTATTATGAGACAACTTTCGATCGTTTGGTTCGTTCCCGGTCGTACAAACATCGCTAGAACTCGTAATAAGTGCTCGATGTTCTTGCGGGGACTGTCGATTTGGTGTGAAAGTATTTCCAGGCGAAATATTTTCGTTTCGACGGTTTTGGGTATGGCGAGGAAAAACAGCTCACACGACAATGGGACGTCTCCAGATGCTTTGTTAGATCAAGGAGTTACAACCACAACAACAACAACAACAACGGCTACGAGGGACAATGTTGTCATACATGGCGATGTCATCTATGGAAAACTGTCACAGAAACAGCTAAGAATACACTTTGTGCACCAGAAGGCCTGTGAGGTGAGAAAATCTGCATTTAGCTACAGTATAGAAAACTTTATATAATTTTCACAACGTAATTAATATTATCTGGTCAGAACTGGTTCAGAAGTGCGTTGAGTCAGTCACTTGAAACACAGAAACAAAGCACATGCAAAATATCTAATGATCACCTCATTTTAAATGGTTGAAATAAATTGGCAACTTTAATTGGGGGATTTTTCTCTGTCAAAACCTTGATTGGGGTGATCACTACTAAGAAGTACTCTCAAAGCTGAAGTTGTTTTGTTTGTTGGACTCAAATTTCTATTTTGCCATCTTTGGGTACTAGTATTACTACCAGTACATCTGAAGTTGTTTTGTTTGTTGGACTCAAATTTCTATTTTGCCATCTTTGGGTACTAGTATTACTACCAGTACATCTAATAGAGAAGCTAATAATAATGATGTTGTGACAGTTGTGTGGCCATGCTATCAGCAAGTAGGTTCGATTCATTTCATTTTTTTTAATACTAACATGTTGATAGAAAATGAAATTAGGTTTATCAGGACTTGATGACTTGCAAATGATGTAAACTGTATCTTTGTTATATTATACATTTTGTCTGACCCTTACCTCTTAATCCCTTATGACCTGAGACAAAGAAAAGGCTGCCAGCAGACCAATTTGAGCTTCCCATGAATAAACAAATGCTAAAAAAAATTTCTTAGTTCAAATTGATGAATGTGATGATTGTTGTTTGTTCCCTGTGGTGTTTAGGGAGGACAGGACACGTACGTTGATCCGGAGACCGGCTACACAGTGTTCACCAGACTGTCTCACCTGCGCAGGGGAACGTGTTGTGGGTCAGCCTGTAGACATGTCAGTACACCAACATTCTATATACTAGTACTACATTGTAGCAGGGCTCTAGCTATAGCCAGTGCCTGTTTTTCCATCACTTGCAGGAACTTTAGCATGTGGCGGAACATTTTTTAAACCTTTCGTCAACCTTCAACTGACAGGTTTGTCACAATATTCAACTGACAGGTTTGTCACAATATTGACGTCAACCTTCAACTGACAGGTGGGTCACAATATTGACAAAAATCTTGGGTAAGGCCACACCAATTTAATTTCTTGGATAGCGGATTCACCTGCTTCATTTTTTTCTGATTTGCAAATAAAAATAAAAATCAGAATCAACTGCAAAATGCTCATGTTTTGCCCTGAACAGTTGAAAACAGTCCTTTTCATCCTAGTTGTTACAGTTATTCCATCTTTCATTAAAAGTTCAAAATTCATTGTTTAAATTTTGAACCAGCCTGGTGTGTTGACTTCATGGCTCCTATCGTACCATTTTGGGCCATAAATTGCCTAGGCCAGTTTTTATTTTTATTTTTTCGTCCGCCCGCCCGCTTCATTATTTTTCTTGAAAAATCCGTTAACCAAGAAATTAAATTGGTGTGGACTAAACTAAAAATATAAAAACATCCAAAGGACAATCAAAAAACACTCTTGACCCTATGATTTGTCTCTCAGAAAGTGGGACATTGTGTTTTAAGGGGCTTGAAAATCCAAAATTTGCCCCCAGACCCCGACTACATTGGGTGCACTTTCCCCATCTTGAGCCTGGGTTGACGGCAAACCATTCCATGGTCCAAGCTGGCTAGAGCCTGGCATTGTAGTAGCCTCTTTTTGCAGTTGTCTCGGGACTGGTCAG